TGCCTACCAATAGATGGTACCAGATAAACTTAAAAAAATGAATGAAAATGATTTGTAGAGGACTTTTCTGCAAAATAGTGAAAAAAAAGTAGGAATTGATTTTAATTTTTTTTTTTAATATTACTTGTTTTTGGTTTACATGGTCTCATAGGAAAATATGATCTCAAAATATTTATAACAAGTGTAACAAGTAATTCCTCCTACTCACTGACTACTACACCTATGGCATTCAGGAGAAATGGACAGCCCGCCTCGAGTTCCTTATTCGAGAGGAAATACAGCGCAACTTGCTCCTTCTGAACAAACATTTAGTTTATAGGATCTCATCCCGAGAGGAAATATATTTATTGTGCTTCGGTGTAGAAGTTGGCCTACAGACTCTCACCCGGAGAGGAAATAAATTTCGCGCACCCTGCACATAATAGAGATTCAGGTTTTCTGCTTAGAAGCGCAGTCCTTCCGCAAATCTATAATTATCAATTTTAAATTTGTTAAATATTGTTATGTCTCTTAGTGTATGTATGTGTTACATTAATTTGACTAAAGCTTTGAGTTCTCCAACATGTGCCTCAAGTATAGCATTTCAACCCAACCTCATTAACTTACAATCTGGTTGCCCAACCTAACACTATACAAGTAAATTTGAAGTTTCTTCCATTATCAACCACTGTAGAAAATTTTATATTTCAAACTTCCATTATTAATACTTCCATTTTTTTAGCCATATCAAAAAGAATTGCAAGAGTTTTATTATCATATTTCTTCTTCTTTAAAAAAATTCATCTTTGCTTTTCTGTTTCATATTTATTATTTTTTTTTTTTGTGATGAAAGATGAAATTTGAGACTTTGATTCCACCAAACGAATCTAATTACTTCATGTAGTCTACTAACTTGTTTCTGTCCTCAATAAATTCACTGTAATTGTGAAAGAGCATCACAGAGAAACGTGTATAACTAGTGAGAAGCTTTCGCAATTGGTTTTATTACATTTTATATCATATATTCATGCAATAACTGCATAAATATCAAGTGACAGTGTCTGCAATTTACATGAACAAAATTATTTGGGTTTAGTAGGTTATTTAAAAAGCCTTTTTCAATTCATTCTATTAGCTCACACTCTCCCTGTATATATCTTGTTCAAATTTTCAATCGTTAATAAAATATTTTTTATTCGTCCATTCAAGATCAAATATATTTTTTTTTGAACTTGTAGTGGATGACACTGGACGTTAATAATTCAGTAATTAAATTTAATGAATTAATTTTATTTTTTTTTACATTTAAGTTGCATGTACCTAATAATAGATGGCTCCAGATGTAATAGTAAATTTCAACTTTATTTGTAAAAGACTTTTCTGCAATATAGTAAAAAAAAAGTAGGAATTGACTTACATTTTTTTTTATATTACTTGTTTTCAATTCCTTCTATTAACTCACACCCTCCCTATATATATCTTGTTCAATCGTTTATAAAATACTTTTTATTCATCCACTCAAGTTCAAATACATTTTTTTAGCTTGTAGTGGATGACACTTGGCGTTAATACAGTTTCTTCAAATATTAATTCAGTAATTACATTTAATTAATTAATTTTAGTATTTTTTTAGATTTAAGTTGCATCTGTCTACCAATAGATGGCGCCAGATAAACGTAAAAAAATGAGTGAAAATTATTTATAAAGGACTTTTCTGCAATATAGTGAAAAAAAAGTAGGAATTGACTTTAAATTTTTTTTTTTATATATTACTTGTTTATAAACTAGTGATACGTAATTTTCACTAAGCATCTAAACTTCAATATTATTTATCAAGGAAGCATTTCACCAGTATTATTATGCTTTTCTGGACGCCTTCTTAAAGAAAATTGGCCTATATTTTGCACGCGGAGAAGATTTACTTGCATATTCTATAGAAAAGATATTGTTAAAGGGCTTTTTTGGCTACCCTTTAAAATGACTTTTACGACGAGTTGCGAACCTGAAAACTCCTGCATCATTGAAAGCATAAGACATCAGACAAAAATCGTTGATATGGATATGACTCCTAACATGATATTCATATTCTTAAGAAGAAACAATTAATATAAAAAAAAATTTTAAGTCAACTCCTATTTTTTTTTCACTATATTGTGGAAAAGTCCTTTACAAATATAGTTGAAATTTTCCTCTTATGTCTGGTGCCATCTATTATTAAATACGTGCAACTTAAATCTAAAAAAAAGCTAAGATTAATTAATTAAATTTAATTACTGAATTAATATTTGAAAAAACTCTATTAACATCAAGTATCCGCCACTACAAGTTCAAAAAAAAATGTATTTGAACACGAGTGGATGAATGAAAAGTATTTTATGAACGATGGAAAATTTGAACAAGATATATATAGGGAGGGTGTGAGCTAATAGAAGGAATTGAATAATTTTGAATATGACTGGGGCCTGATGGCTGAGAGCCTAGCACTGTGTGCCACACGTTTCGGGTTCGATTTTTGGCAGTACCATGGATATTTGTAAACAGGACCATTTTATGATTGTGGGCGTTGGGTGTAGGACTGTCAGCCCTACATCGTTAAAATATCACATCTCCTGTCTCGAAATCTACCAGCAAGCAGATGGCCTTGGTCCACGATGGGGCTGTTGCGCCAATGAAGAAGAATAACTTAATTAGTTTTATTTTTCGTTGCGATACAATTTCTTTTTTAGAAAAATCATCAATAATTGTTTCATTCTTCTCCAATGTTGTGTTATATTTCCTTCAAATTTGCTAGAAGCTATGGTTTAAGTTAAGTATTTGGTTCGCCATACTATCAAATGGTGTAAAACAAAAGACCTTTCTTTCCAACCCAATATAGTGTGAATATCATTTGAGTATTAAACATATATTGATTAGTTTGCTAGTCATTTAAGAAAATTTACAAATTTGTCTCTCATATATAAATATTAAAAAAATAATATCATTTTTAGACATGAAGAACACATTTGTGAACAAAAATGGTTTTAGACTTAAATGACACATTTGTGAATAAACATGTTTTAGTTATAATAAAAAAAAAATCGATAAATAATAAATTGACTTCACAATTTCTTAGTTACTACAAAAATCGAACTAAATTCTAACACTGTAACCATGCTTTATCCTACACACTGCCAAGAGCGCTCTCTTGTGGAGTTCAGGAGAAATGGTCAGTTGGCCTACAGACCCTCACCACGGAGAGGAGATATTTTTGCTCATCCCGCTCTTAGCTGAGTATCGGGTTTTCGGTTCCTTCAAAAGTGGAATCCTTGTACAAATCTATAATTATCTGTCTTTAAATATATTAAATGTTGTATGTCTCTAATTGTATGTGTGTGTCAATAAAGCTGTGATTTCTCCAACCTGTGCGTCAAGTATCTCAACCCAACCACACCCAGTCACAATCTGGTTGCCCAACCTGCACACTGCAAATACTCGTATTAAATTAATGTAGTATCGCTCATTAAATTCTTTGCTATTCAATTCCTTCTACTAGCTCACACTCTCCCTATATACATATATCTTGTTCAAATTTTCAATCCTTAATAAAATACTTTTTATTCATCCACTCAAGTTCAAATGCATTTTTTTTTTGAACTTGGAGTGGATGACACTGGATGCTAATACAGCTTTTTCAAATATTAATTCAGTAATTAAATTTAATTAATTCATTTTAGTTTTTTTAGATTTAAGTTGCATCTATCTACCAACAGATGGCGCCAGATGTAGGAGAAAAATTTCAACTTAAAAAGTAGGAATTGATTTCAAAACTTTTTTTATATAACTTGTTTATTATATATAAATAAATAAAATAATTAAATATGTCCATGTTAGACAATTTTTATCCCTGTATATCCCCAAATTAAAGCAATATTGTATATATTTAAATGAATTTCCCTTTTAAATTACATTGATTCTTCAAAATATTAAACATAATATGTTTGCATAATTACATACACATCAGAGCATAAATACATTTAAACACAATCTAATAAACTATTTACAACTTATGAGTTTGTACAAATTAATTAGCTATGAACAATTATTGGAAAAAATATGGATTATATCACACTTTTCTAACTTTATTTATATATCATAAAATCATCTAATTTATTCAGTATCAAATTACTCATAGTTTATACTCAATCAATTTTTCGCCTTTTTCACACATTTTTAGAGAGAGAAAAATGTTCAGCATCAAGATGGTTCTTAATGAACTCATTTTGATTAAGTTAATGAATCATTAATTTAATTAATCTGAACTTCATCATTTAATTTCAGTTTTCTGAAAAATGATTGCTTTGGGATTAATTGTTCAAATGAGGAGTTACGCCTTGCCAAGATTTAAGAGTGAGTTTTTTAGCCTGATTCAATTAATGATGATAATTAAGGTTACATAAGATTATAATTTGGATAAGAAAGAAAATTAACTCTTAAGCACTTCATAATTCTGTATTAAATTTATAGAATAGATACAAATGCTTGAGATGAAGAAACCTTGTGCAATATTTTTTAATTGCGGTTTAAATCATTTATTTAGATTGTTTATTGTTATTGGAATTATATTGTAATTTTATCACAATTATTTTATTTTGCTATTTTAATATTGGTATTGGAATTATTGTGTTGCAGTTATTTTATTATTACTATCAGAATTGCTTTATAGTTCTATTTTATTACTACAATAGATTACTTTATAGTTGCTATTTTATTATTACAATAGAATTGTTTTATAGTTGCTATTTTATTATTATAATATAATTGTTTTATAGTTGTATTTTATTATTACAATAGAATTGTTTTGTAGTTGCTATTTTATTGTTGCTAGGGGAATTGCTTTATCACTTGATAAGAAATTTAACTTAACTATAATGTATCGTTATAATTATAATTATAATGTAACGTTTTTAGTGGATATTCTGGCTTACTAAAGAAAAAAAATTATCAATTTACAAAAATATGCTTTTATGAGTTGTCACTGAGCAACTGTAGCTCAGTGGTCAGAGCTCTGTTCTTGTAAACCAAGGGTCGTGAGTTTATTTTTCATTATATGTAAATAAATTAAGTAATTAAATACATTCATTTAGACAATGCGTTATACCTGTATATCCCGAAATTAAAGCAATATTGAAGAACATTAAGATAAAAAAAAATTTTAATTACATTGATTCATCTGAATAATAAACGTAATATGTTTGCATAAATTCGTACCCCAAAATTCTTAAAAACATTTAATCACAATCTAATAAATTATTTACACCTTATGAGTTTGTAAACATTAATTAGTTACGAACAATTATTGGAAAGAATGTAGATTATAGCACAATTTTCTAACTTTATTTGTATACCATAAAATCACCTAATTTATCCAATATCAAATTACTTATATTCATTACTCAATCAATTTTTCGTCCTTTTTTACACATTTTTAGAGTTGGAAAAATGTTTAGTATCAAGATGGTTCTTAATGAACTCGTTTTGATTAAATTAATGAATCATCATTAATTTAATTAATCTGCGCCTCATCATTTAACTTTTTTCTGAAAAATGATTGCTTTGGGATTGATTGTTCAAACCAGGAGTTACGCCTCGCCAAGATTTAAGAGTGAGGTTTTTAGCCTGATTGAATTAATGAGGATAATTAAGGTTACATAAGATTATAATTTGGATAAGAAAGAAAATTAACTCTTAAGCACTTCATAATTCTGTATTAAATTTATAGAATAGATACAAATGCTTGAGATGAAGAAACCTTGTGCAATATTTTTTAATTGCAGTTTAAATCATTTGTTTGGATTGTTTATTGTTATTAGAATTATATTGTAATTTTATCACAATTATTTTATATTCTCCTTTTTAATATTTATATTGGAATTATTGTGTTGTAGTTATTTTATTACTTTTAGAATTAATTTATAGCTGCAATTTTATTATAACATTAGAATTGTTTTATAGTTGCTATTTTACTATCGCATTGGAATTATTTTATAGTTGCTATTTTATTACTGCTATCGGAATTATTTTTACAGTTGATATTTTATTATTACATTGGAATTATTTTTATAGTTGCTATTTTATTATTGCACTGGAATTATTTTATAGTTGCTATTTTATTATTGCTATCGAAATTATTTTTATAGTTGCTATTTTATTATTGATTTGGAATTATTTTTATAGTTGTTATTTTATTATTGCTTTGGAATTATTTTATAGTAGTTATTTTATTAATTTTAGGGGAATTATTTTATACTTGTTATTTTATTATTGCATTGGAATTATTTTAAAAAGTTGCTATTTTATTATTACATTAGAATTTTTTTATAGTTGCTATTTTATTATTGTTATCGGATTCATTTTTATAGTTGCTATTTTGTTATTACATTGGAATTATTTTAATAGTTGCTATTTTATTATTGGTATTGGAATTATTTTTATATTTGCTATTTTGATATTGGCTTTGGAATTATTTTTATAGTTGTTAATTTGTTATTGATGTCGGAATTATTTTTATGGCTGCTATTTTATTATTGCTATCGACATTATTTTTATAGTTGCTATTTTTTTATTGCATTGGAATTATTTTTAGAATTTTTCTTATTATTTAGTTGCAATTTTATTATTGGTATTGGAATTATTTTTATATTTTCTATTTTGATATTGACTTTGGAATTATTTTTATATTTTCTATTTTGATGTTGGCTTTGAAATTATTTTTATAGTTGACATTTTATTATTGCATTAGAATTATTTTTATAGTTGTTATTTTACTATTGCATTGGAATTATTTTTATAGTTGCTATTTTACTACTGCATTGGAATTATATTTATAGTCGCTAGAGGAATCTCTTCATCTCTTGGTAAGAAATTAAACTTAAAATATCTTTACAAATATGTTTCTTAAGAAATCGTTTTTTAAAACAAAATCATGTTTTTCAAATGTTTTTTTAAATAATGTAGAGGTTCAGAAAATAGACATAGATAATATAGAGGAAATGTAATTTTCTAGATATTTAAAGAGTTAACTTAGTAAATATTAGTAATATTGTAAAATAAATTTCATGATGCAGACTATTTTTCCAGGTACTTTAAGAGGAGAAAGATCAGTATTATTGTAAAATAAATGTAAAATATTAAATATCAGTAATATTGTACAATAAATACTTTTAAAATATCTTTATTATAATTCATAATGCTTTTATTTTAATTCATAATGCAGACAATTTTTCCTGGTACTTAAAGAGGAGAAATATTATATTAAAATAAATAATTATATTAAAATAAATAATTATTATTAAAATAAATATTATTAAAAAGTATTATTAAAATTAAAATTCATAATTATCTATAAACTTCTAATATAACAATTTGCTTTTTAAAATGTGTAGTGAATGAAATTAAAATCTAGTAAAAGCATCGCATTGTTAAAATTCTCTATTAATATAACATATCGCCTTTGAGTTCGGTGAGGTTAGTATTAAAGTTGTGCGTAAGGTACTAGTATAGACAGTTAAATTGTCTTGTGGGTTTTCGCTGGTGGTATCCATTGGAATCACTGTATTTAGAAACCAGGCGACTCGATGGCTGATATGACAACATATATAAGCGTCTTGCATCGAAAGTCAATCTGCCTAGAGGGAGTTTTCATTTTTCAATTCCATCTATTAGCTCACACGCTCACTGTATATATCTTGTTCAAATTTTCAATCGTTCATAAAATACTTTTTATTCATCCACTCAAGTTCAAATACATTTTTTTTTAACTTGTAATGGATGACACTTGATGTTAATACAGTTTTTTCAAATATTAATTCAATAATTAAATTTAATTAATTAATTTTAGTATTTTTTTAGATTTAAGTTGCATATATCTGCTAATAGATGGCGCCAGATAAACTTAAAAAATTGAATGAAAATTATTTATAAAGGACTTTCAGCAATATAATGAAAAAAAAGTAGGAATTCACTTTAATTACTTTATTTTACTTTATTTTTTTGTATTACTTGTTTCTTCTAGAGAAGCAAATGTGGTACAATTCCCTGAAAGCTCTTCCCATAAGGCAATCCTTTCCCTATTAAGGAAATATTAAGTACACTGAAGTACACCAACCACAAATAAAAGTACTTCTTTTAGATATAATATCCTTAATTTTTAAGAATTTATTATCATATTTGTCAAAAAATTATTCCTTTCTTCAGTATAAGCAGATAAACAAAATAAAGCTATGCCGTATTTGTAATACTTAGTTATAAAATACCATAGGAGCACACAAGAACAGTACAGAATAAATTTATTGTAAGAGAGTACAAGTTGAATTTTTTTCTTAAAAAGCACAACAGACAGCCTTAAGAAGAAATTATTTATTTGAAAAGTTTTTTTTTTTTTTTTATACAACTGCAGCTAAAGTAGCAGATATATTCGCTACAAAATAGTTAGAAATACAAAAATAGTTATAAATATATAGTACGATATTTTAATAGTTAGAAATAGTTTACTCCTACTTGCCAAAGAAAACTTTTAAATAAAATGATGAATCCATTTTTTTTAAGGAAATCCAACAAGAAAGTATTTTTTTTTGTAATTCAGATTACAGAGAAAATATATTTTCTGCAATCGATTTTTTTTATACTTCCAGAAATCGACTTTTTTTTAATCGACCATTCCTGCAATCTTCTGTTCTATATATTTTAAGAAATCGACTTTCGACTTTTCTATATTTTCTTCAGTAAATTTTCTATATTTTCTGCAATCAACTTTTCTATATTTTCTGCAGTCAACTTTTCTATATTTTCTTCAGTAAATTTTCTATATTTTCTTCAGTAAATTTTCCATATTTTCTTCAGTAAATTTTCCATATTTTCTTCAGTAAATTTTCCATATTTTCTTTAGTAAATTTTCTATATTTTGTGCAATCCACTTTTATATATTTTGTGCAATCCACTTTTCTATATTTTGTGCAATCCACTTTTCTATATTTTGTGCAATCCACTTTTCTATATTTTGTGCAATCCACTTTTATATATTTTCTGCAATCCACTTTTTATTTTATATTTTATTTTGCAATCACTTTTATATATTTTCTGCAATCAACTTTTTATATATTTGTGCAATCAACTTTTATATATTTTGTGCAATCCAACTTTTATATATTTTTGCAATCAATCCACATATATTTTTTGCAATCCATATATTTTCAGCAATCAACTTTTATATATTTTCTGCAATCCACTTTTATATATTTTCTGCAATCCACTTTTTATATATTTTCTGCAATCCACTTTTTATATATATTTTTTATATATTTTCTGCAATCCACTTTTATATATTTTCTGCAATCAACTTTTATATATTTTCTGCAATCAACTTTTATATATTTTCTGCAATCACTTTTATATATTTTCTGCAATCCACTTTTATATATTTTTTTATACATTTTCTGCAATCCACTTTTATACATTTTCTGCAATCCACTTTTATACATTTTATCCACTTTTATACATTTTCAACATTTTTCTGCAATCCACTTTTATATATTTTCTGCAATCCACTTTTATATATTTTCTGCAATCAACTTTTATATATTTTCTGCAATCAACTTTTATATATTTTCTGCAATCCACTTTTATATATTTTCTGCAACCCACTTTTATACATTTTCTGCAACCCACTTACATTTTCTACATTTTCTGCAACCCACTTGTCTACACATTTTCTGCAACCCACATTTTTGTCTACATTTTCTGCAACCCACTTGTCTACATTTTCTGCAACCCACTTTTGTCTACATTTTCTGCAACCACTTGTCTACACATTTTCTGCAACCCACTTTTTGTCTACATTTTCTGCAACCCACTTGTCTACATTTTCTAACCCAATTTTCTGCCACTTGTCTACATTTTCTGCAACCCACTTGTCTACATTTTCTGCAACCCACTTGTCTACATTTTCTGCAACCCACTTGTCTACATTTTCTGCAACCCACTTGTCTACATTTTCTGCAACCCACTTGTCTACATTTTCTGTAACCCACTTGTCTACATTTTCTGTAACCCACTTG